CCAGTGCTCCCACCCCCTCTTACTGTGACTGGGACATATATTTACCAATGCTCCCCCCTCATACTGCAACTGGGATGTACATTTCCCAGTGCTCCCACCCCCTCTTACTGTGACTGGGACATATATTTACCAATGCTCCACCCCCTCATACTGCAACTGGGATGTACATTTCCCAGTGCTCCCACCCCCTCTTACTGCGACTGGGACAAATGTTTCCCATTGTTTTTCAAAATTGTCTTGTGTGATGTATGGGAGTAAAATAAGTTGAAAGTATTTATCGGCATCCCACCTAATGTTGATGTATGATTTCCCTAATGTTAATAAGTTGAAAAATATTTATCGGCATCCCACCTAATGTTGATGTATGATTTCCCTAATGTTAATAAGTTGAAAGTATTTATCGGCATCCCACCTAATGTTGATATATGATTTCCCTAATGTTAATAAGTTGAAAAGTATTTATCGGCATCCCACCTAATGTTGGTGTATGATTTCCCTAATGTTAATAAGTTGAAAGTATTTATCGGCATCCCACCTAATGTTGGTGTATGATTTCCCTAAAATAAGTTGAAATGTATTTATCGGCATCCCACCTAATGTTGGTGTATGACTTCCCTCAATGTTTTCCACTCAGCCCTTCAGTAACTAACTAACATAACAACCGTGTCCACATCATTAGAGCAGTGAGTAGTATCCATAGTTACTGTGTAAATATGCTTGATGCACTTGACTCATATAGCTTAGAAGATAGTGAAAGTGAGTCGAGTGATGTTCAAATGTGTGATGATGAAGAGGCAATGAGTAATGATAGTCAAGATGACGAACCTAGCACCAGCAGAGGAAGATGTAAACAGCATCAACAATGGTAAACATTTTCCCCAGTCACAATGTGAGGGGGTGGGAGCACTGGGAAATATACATCCCAGCTGCAATGAATGGGTTAAGGTTCCATATTTAATATTGTAGCTTGAACAGAAATTACTGCTTTCAGTATAAGACCTCACTTTTAAATACAATGCAAGTGTGATCTGTTTTAGTAATTGTAAGTGTTGACCAACCCTTAGGAATATGGGTATATTAAACTTGAAGATTTATTAAGTGTGAAGTATTATTTCTAGTTTTGGTTTATTCAGGTAGTTTTACTGTTTATCATACAGTTGCGAAACACCTGCTGGTTTTGTGTGGTATCCTACTTTCTATTAAATCCTTGTTTCAGTGTGTCAGGAGGGGTTCTACGGAGATCACTGTCTGAAAAGATGCAACTGCTCCGGAAAGAACTTTGTCTGTAGCCCAACCAATGGCTGTGTTTGCAAGTATGGATATGAAGGAAAGAATTGTGAACGCCGTAAGTTTTGTGTAAAAATAGAAACTGATATAAAACGTATGATTTAGTTAGTTACAATAACTTACATGAGGAGCAAGGGTAAAAACTAATTTATTGTTCAAATCAGTTTCTTCTCGCTATTCTATGGAGGTATAGATCTACATTAACATTTAAAAAGGTTATCAAAATTACATATCCTTTTGCTGACTAGCGGAATACAAAAGTATTTGAATATCTTATCTGATGGTTTCACTGGAGTAAGTACGATCGTATCTAGTGGTTTCTGTGGATTAAATGATATCATATGTCATGGTTTATTTAGAGTAAGTATCGTGTATAGTTGTTTCTCTAGAGTAAATAATATCATATATCATGGTTTATTTAGAGTAAGTATCGTGTATAGTTGTTTCTCTAGAGTAAATAATATCATATATCATGGTTTATTTAGAGTAAGTATCGTGTATAGTTTTCTCTAGAGTAGATGAGGTTTGTGTAGTGTAACTCGTATCGTATCCAGTGGTTTTCGTAGAGTAAGTAATATCCCATTTAGTGATATCTAAAGTATGTTTCTTGAAAGTAAATGTGTGAAATATCAGTGCTCTATTTGCTTTTGAAACATAGTCTCAACATTAAATATAAAAACTGGTTAGTTTGCTCGGTTGTATATAATTAAAGACAGAGATAGCAAGTTGTCGTTTTCTCGGTGTTTACAGAATTTATTATAAAAATTTTACTTTCGTATATTTTAAGTTTTAATCAACGAGTACAGTTTTTCTCTCCCCCCGTCTAAATTCATAGGCTACACGGGAAGGGTAGTCAGAACCTACGAGGAAGAAGAAGGAGCTCAGACTAGCAGCTTGGGGTTGGTTATAGGTGTGACTTTGGTAGTTGTGTTAATCGTTATTGTTCTTCTGCTTTTTGTGTACTACCGTCATAAAGTGAAGCGACTGAAGTCAGAACTAGCATACGTTACGTAAGTTTCAAATTATGGTAGTTTAGTCTTTTTCTCTGTCTATAACATCCTGATATCTTAATATTAAAATGGTATTTTAACAGGTTAAGTGTTAAAAATATACAGGAGATCAATGTGTTTGATTTTTGAATGAGAATATATAAGTAGCATAAAATTAAATATCTCTCTTCCAAATATATATTTATGGATTTGAAAGTACATTGTGAGAATTACAACAAAGTACTGTTGTTAAATTATAATGTATCACTTGGAACACTTGAATTAGAAGATTAAGAATCGAGGGATTACTGTACTGTAAAAGTACTGTTGTTAAATTATAATGTATCATTTGGAACACTTGAATTACAAGATTAAGAATCGAGGGATTACTGTACTGTAAAAGTACTGTTGTTAAATTATAATGTATCATTTGGAACACTTGAATTACAAGATTAAGAATTGAGGGATTACTGTACTGTTGTTAAGTTATAATGTATCATTTGGAACACTTGAATTACAAGATTAAGAATCGAGGGATTACTGTACTGTTGTTAAGTTATAATGTATCATTTGGAACACTTGAATTACAAGATTAAGAATTGAGGGATTACTGTGCTGTTGTTAAATTATAATGTATCATTTGGAACACTTGAATTACAAGATTAAGAATTGAGGGATTACTGTACTGTAAAAGTACTGTTGTTAAATTATAATGTATCATTTGGAACACTTGAATTACAAGTTTAAGAATCGAGGGATTGCTGTACTGTAGCTATAACAAAATGTGTTATTTTTAACATTGGAATTATGTGATTAGAAGTTGGTGTAATGATACTTAAAAAATGACGTTGCTATCCAGAACCCACTGTGTAATATAGTGTAATAATTCCATGACAGAATACTGTAATCATAGTGTAATAATTCCGTGACAGAATAGTATTCTGTCACGGAATTATTACACTATGATTGCAGTACAGTCATAGTGTAATCATTCCATGACAGAATACTGCAATCATAGTGTAATCATTCCATGACAGAATACTGTAATCATAGTGTAATAATTCCATGACAAAATAGTAATGATGGTTTTGTAAGTTTAATTTTTATTTTTTTTCAGGTATACAGCTAATCCAGGGCCTATGATTGGTAAGTATTCAGACAGAAGATTATATAAATATATGATGCACTTCAAAGATATATTTGTAAGTACACAAGTCATTATCTACTTGAAATGCTGAAAGCTGGCAAAATATTGAAAAAAATCAATAAACCAAAACATTTTTATAACAACAAGTGTTTTTTTTTTCCACATTCCTCTTAATTTGTTCATTACAGCTCAAAATCGGAGGTGTTTAAAACTGATGCCTTCTGGGAAGATAGATATGAAATGCTATGTTTTTACTACCTCTGATTTTGAGTTACAAGTTAAGAAGAATGTTTGGTTTTACTACTTATATTTTAACCTTATTGTCTTAACTCTTTCCCTATGGACTTTGTCATTTTCATTGACCACGTAACCACCAGGTAACTACAAAAGTATCCATTATTATAACGTTTAATGTAGTAAGTGTATCTTCACAAAATGTGGCAAGCTTTTAGTAAACAATACTTGTCTTGTACCCAAAAAATCAGACTTTTGAATTAAGTATTTTTACTAAATATATGTCCATGAATATATGGAATCAGAGTGTTGAGTAGTGCGAATGCGCGATGATTTTCATCTAAAGATTGAAAATACTTTTATTCGTCTTGCAGTTTTCTGATTTAATTTGCCTAACCTCCTAAATGAATATCAAATGTTTTGTTTTTCTTTCAATAAAACTTTACATTTTATCTTTTTTTTTTTTCCTACCCTAACTGTATACAGAGTTGGTCGATTTGACCTTGTAACCATCACAAAAAATATGAAGTCTAAATTTCCCTTTCTCTTTCTAGAATGACTGCAAATTGTAATGGAGAACTACATTTGTTTATCCTAAATAACTTAAGCCTAATAACAGTCTACATCTGTTTCTACTTGATTTTATTGCCATTTGAATCCGGTGATACAAGCGTTAAATCATTCGGCAAATGCATAGCCCAAGATAATATATGGAATGCTGTAACACAAAAGCTACTTCTGATAAAACCTTATGGAGAAATTTTTTATTATCTTACCTAACCTGATCTTATTTAACTTAATTAAGTTTCTAATTTTAACATTTTTATATTTATATCACAATAAGTACCAAATTTACATGAAAAACAAGCAATTTGGTACTCATGTTTTGTTTTTGCTGTTGGCTTGCCAATGAAATTTAAGCCTACTTCTAATGATGGTACTGGTACATCAAATAATTTTTATTTATTTGAGAAATGCACATAAGAACACAGAATAATAACACACACATAAAACAATGTCTTATAACTTAACTAGCTTTCTTACAAAGGCCTAAGTGCCTTATACTACTTCCATTAGCTAATCGATCTGAACTCAGAGAGAGCAACTTCCAGTCTGTAGACAAAATAACTAAAAATGTCTACTGAGAACAATGTTGTATTATACACCATTCAGTAGACTAAAACTTTGTTTTTTTTATTAGTTATAAATCATGTAATAGAAAATGTCAGAATTATTAACAATTTGAGAAAGAGAGAATATGACAAGTGGGTTTTAAATCTATTTTATTTCTCTGTTAGCCAAAGTGATATAAAGCTTTATAAATTGGACTTTGTCTTGGTAATTTATGTATATATTATAGTGAGTAATTTATATTAAACTCATTACGATTCTCGTACAAGGGGAAGTTGAGGATTTATTTAAACATTTTACTTTAAAGTTAAGAAATTAAAACGTATATCACATTCAGATTTGATGTGTTAACTACGTTTTGATGCCAAGATTACTTGTACTACAATAGTAAAGTAGTTTAGCTGAACTTCAAATGTGATTGCGTGAAAGGTCGTGACGTGTGCTTTGACCTCCCCACAGTGAAAGGGTTAAAATAACTTGACTGATTGAAATGAAACAACAGTTTTTAAAATGATAGAATTTTTACTACTGGTGTTTTACTTTTTAAAGAAGTGCAGTAAAATTCTCTCGGTTTGTTAGACCAGCATCATTTCGACAATCCAGTGTATGCTTGCAACAGTGCTGGAGGAACAAAGAACAATCAGCTTGTTAAACACATTAGAAATGATTTGACTACAAAAAGTAACATCGAGAAAGCCAAACTTGGAGATGAAGATGATTCAAACATGTCCGAGAAAGGTTTGTAGAAACTTAATATTCTTCTATTTTCACAACTTGTTTTATTAGTCTAATTTTACTTTTGTTATAGTTTATGTGTGAAAAACCGTTAAAAATACCAATAAATATCTAGATTTCAGCACTACAACTTTTAAGATAGATTAAGTTGTTTTATGTCTTTGCATTTAAAAAAAAAGTTTTCTCTTATTAATAGAAATGTTTCACACTTTTATTATTCAAAAAAGTCACCATGGCTTCAATCTTTGTTTTAAATGTCTAAAGAATCCGTCACTGAAAGTGTTTTCATCTGGCTTTTTTATTTCCTGCTTTAATCTTTGCAGGAGCATGTGGTCTGTCCGTTCACGATGAACCTGGCAAGGCAAAACTAAAAGACTTGGATTATAACCCTAACATCTACCACAGTATTGATGATTTAAAACCTGAAACACTTAAGAATTCTCCTTTCTATGAAGAACTAAAAAAAGCAACTTGTAAGTTGAACTTTTTATTCAATTGAGGAAACTTTTTAACTAAAAAATAATTGTTTACTACAAATTAGGGTTTCCTTATTCACAACCCACTGAAATAGCCAGGCTGTTTTTTGGGACTCTTACTCAGTTGGGTCACAGCTGATACCACTATAATATTAAAGATGTTTAAAAACTAACTGGTATCTGACAATATTAATTGTTGACATTGTATTGGTTTAACAGTAAAGCTAAAGTATTAATTGTTGAAGTAGTGTTGTTTAACAGTAAAGCTAAAGTATTAATTGTTGAAGTAGTGTCGGTTTAACAGTAAAGCTGAAGTATTAATTGTTGACATAATGTAGGTTTAACAGTAAAGCTGAAGTATTAATTGTTGACATAATGTCGGTTTAACAATAAAGCTGAAGTATTAATTGTTGAAGTAGTGTTGTTTAACAGTAAAGCTGAAGTATTAATTGTTGACGTAATGTAGGTTTAACAGTAAAGCTGAAGTATTAATTGTTGACATAATGTCGGTTTAACAGTAAAGCTGAAGTATTAATTGTTGACATAATGTCAGTTTAACAATAAAGCTGAAGTATTAATTGTTGACATAGTAATTTTTATTGGAAAAAGAAAATTATAAAAACTATAACAAAAATGTTAGAGTTCCAGTTTAACATATTTGAATGAATATCATCAAAAAGATTATTCATTTGAGGTATGAAACAAGTAAAAAATAATACGCTAAAAACTTTCTTTATGGCAGATAAACTCGTATAGAGTTTAAAACTAAAGACTCTTAACATGTAGATTATTCATATTGTTAGATCATTTTAACTACACTGAAGTTAAAGTTAAGTATGTGTACAGATCATTTAATAAGTAGCTAATATTACGTTTCCTGACCAAACTGTATGTTCCAGTTCTTTCTTAAACAACTTATTAAAAATTTTTTCTTGATGTTTTTCAGTACCAGATAGTGATTCTGAATATGACCATCTTCAGTATGATCGCCCAATATCTAGACAAAAATCTCATTATCACTCGATTAATGGTACAACATCTAAATCATCAAACATCTGAAGTGTAAATATACTTTGAAATGTTTCTGTTATACATGTCATTTTATTAATTAATATTTAGTTATTAATCTACGAACATGGAGATGTTTTTTTCTTAGTGAGAGTATTTATAAATTAAATTGTAATAAGAAATAATTAGCATCCAAAAATGTTTCACCGGCTACAGTGAATACATTTGTGTAAAATATGTTGTGGTGTTATTGTTAGCTTCTAAAGTGGCTTGCAAGTCATTTAAATTGTGATCCAGTGATAATTGTGTTTCACACAAATTCCAAAATAATTGAGTTTTATTATAATGAAATCAATTTCTACTTTATTTTGGATTAAGAATTTTATTTTCTCAGTGTTGTAATAAGTGAAGGTTGATGTAAAAAGTACAGTTTTATATATTGTACATAGGACTTTTGTACTAACTGTCTCATCGAACGAGCACTTTGTTACAGTTACTTTGATATTGACAGCTACACTGTTATATTTTCAGTGTGTGTGAATGATTGTAGCCAGCAGTCCAGGGAAGAAAGTACTGTACCAGTAAAATCTATGTAATGCATTAAATACAGTCAACAATTTTATTGACGTAGCTAATGGTTTCATAAATGTAATATGCTACATCTTTATGGAATTTTGTATATTACAATCACTGATTGACAGCTATTGGTGTCACATTTGCATTCTAACAAAAGCATTTATAGATTTTTTTTTTCTAGATTTTTTGTGTAAATTGAGTATAATAATAGCTCTCTCTTTAGGTAGACTTGTTTTTTATATAGAAGAAAACACAGTTTTCTGTAGTTTTTTTTTCTTATAAAGTCCTGTAATTTGGGGAAGAATAATGTTAACTAAAGGCATCATGAACTGAACTAATTATTGTGTAAAATTATGGTACCTTCTGGTAAGGGAGCATTTAGATCAAAATGATGGTACCTTCTGGTAAAGGAGCATTTAGATCAAAATGATGGTACCAAATGCTCCCTTACCAGAAAGATCAAAATGATGGTACCTTCTGGTAAGGGAGCATTTAGATCAAAATGATGGTACCTTCTGGTAAGGGAGCATTTAGATCAAAATTATGATACCTTCTGGTAAGGGAGCATTTAGATCAAAATGATCTATTTCCAGATAATATTTCCCCAAGGATTTTTTGGCTGCCGAGCACCAGGTGGTCAAGGTGCTCGACTTGCAATCTGCGGGTTTGAATCCTCATCACACCAAACATGCTCACCCTTTCAGCAATGGGGGCATTATAATGTGACGGTCAATCCCACTATTCGTTGATAAGAGTAGCCCAACAGCTGGCGGTGGGTGGTGATGACTAGATGCCTTCCCTCTAGTCTTACACTGCTAAATTAGGGACAGCTAGTGCAGATAGCCCTCGTGTAGCTTTGCGTGAAATTAAAACACAAATCAAGGGTTTTGAAATAAGTTTAGGATTGAATAGTGGACCACTTGTTACTATTTTTTGTCAGTCCTTGAATAGTGAGCAGGTACCAGAGGATTGGAAGTTGACTAATGTAACTCCTCTTTTCAAGGATAAAAATTGTCCCAGTTATTATAGACGTATTAGTTTTACATAAGTGATGGGAAATGGTTTTGGAAGTCTGAAAAAAAGATGCTTTGCAAAATCATTTAACAAAGTTTGAAATTTTGTTGGATAGTCAACATGGTTTCACTAAGGGAAGATCTTGCCTTAAAAAATCTTTTGACATTTTTGTAAAGGTTACTGCTTATATAGATGAGGGTAAGAGTGTAGATTTGGTGTATCTGGATTTTCAGAAAACATTTGACATGGTGTCACATAAAAGGCTTTTAAAAAACGATCTCTACAAGTGTGAAGGATAAATTAGCTGATTGGATGGAAGAAAGCAGAGGGTTGTTATAAATGGAGTTCAGTCAAACTGGGGTACTTCAGGGTTCATTCTTAGAACCTTTGCTCTTTTTGATTTACATCAATTCTAGAGATGGAGTAGTCAATAAATTACTTAAATTTGTTGATGATATTAATCTCTTGGGTGTTGCTAGCTGTGAAGAGGATACTGCTACTTTACAAAAGGATTTAGATCATTTTGTGAGTTTGGCAAATGGGTTTTAATTATAACAAATGCAAGATAATGCATGTGGGTTATTATAACTTGGATGGAGATAACCTTAACAGTGTCATGAAAGAAAGGGATCTTAGTGTAATAGTCAATCAGTCTCTTAAGCCATCCGTGCAATGTACTGTTGCTAGTGGTCGGGCAAGCAGGTTTTTTTTAGTGTTTAATGGATAGGATGACATAGATGGACCAAAAAGTCCCCTTCTGTTTGCATAACCTCTAACACTTCCAAACTGTACCTGATATTACTCTCCTTTAACACAAAGTCAGCAGTCTAGGGTACAAATAATAGTTGACAGCACTGGATCAAATAACTAATACCATGCTGCAAAAGGTCGTGGGATGTGCATGAATAATATTTCAGTAATGTACATTTAGTGTTAACAAAGTTCATTCCAGAAACAGACTTACTTTTAAACATTACAATGAGAATTTTAGTTGTTGTGGAAACCTTTACTTGCAGTAAATATTTTAAAACAAAACTATATATCTATACACAACAACAGAATATTTAACTAGGTGATTAATTAAAAGTAAAACATTTTCTATCACATAAAAATAGCCTTTTAACCCTATGTGCTTGGGTGGGGGTCAAAGTGCACATGCCATTTACCATGGTATTAGTTATTTGATCCAGTGCTGTCAACTATTATTTGTACCCTAGACTGCTGACTTTGCAACAGTTTGTGTTATGAAGCTTAAGTGTAGGGTTTAAATTGATAATATTGAATACAAGAAATACTCCAATAAAATTTCAACTTAACTAGTGTTATTTCTGTAATATCTTGATTTCAGCTGTCAGTCTCTTAATATTTGCATAGATTAACTGCATAACTTTGGAACAGACACTTTGAAGATTAACAGGTGTAACTGTTTTTAAAGAAAGTCCACAGACAGCTTTTTGAGTGAATTATTTTAACTTTACAACAACATTTCAACCACTCGTGTCCATTATCTGTTTTCCTCTCCTCACAAGAAGTATAGGTTGGAGTGTTTTTGTTGCTCCGTTATAAAGTTATGTATGTTTATTTGTTTTAAACGTTATAATAAACATTTGTAATACCACACAGTTTCAGTTGAGCATCTTTCAAGAATTCCAGGACTTGTTTGTGTCAACATTTAGCACAGATGTAACAATCCAAAATCTCTGAAATTTGGTTCATTTTAATTCTTCACAAACATATAATATACATCATTCTGTTCCTAGCCATAAAAATGTTTCACAGTAATAACAATGGTTTCTTTAAAAAAAGTTCAATTTATATACATAGTCATGTAACAACTCGTAAACATTCTATTATGGTCCAGTTGTTAAACTTCCTGTCGATCGTCAAATACGGCAGGAGTGTTATTTACTGACAACGACACTAATACAGCTATTCTAAACAGGAAATTTTTCTACATCTAGTAACAAACTCATTCTTTTGAAGGGAAGCTTCACACCTACTTTTTAAGTATGGAAGTTGTATACGATCTGACAGAAAAAAATCTGGATCACAAATATAATTATTTTTTTCTCTTAAAATTCGTTTTTAAACTTTAAGTGTTAACTCTCATTAAAAACATGGTTATAAATGTGTCATAACCTGAAAATATGTTGGCATGTACAGAAATTGTAGGAACACTACTACAATTTGATATGATCTATTTTTAACCTCCAATAAAAATCCACAATTCTGGCATGTAAATAAGTGTTCTATTATTTACTTAAACAGAATTTTTTAAAATTAACTCCGTCAATCAGCCCAGATAATTACATTATAGGTGTGTGTGTGTATATCAAACAAGAGGGCATTAAATACTTAAAAAATTGGTTTACAGAGTAAAATGTTGGGATATATTTTTACTTATATTTTATAAACTGACAAAATTACTTGTAATATCTTTATACACAAATGCTAATCAGTAATTAACATCATTAATTACTCGGCAAATTTAACTTAATCTAGTCAAACGTATTGAGGAAATGTTGGCCTTCTTATCTTTAGAGAGAAAAAAAGCAGAAAATAAACTTGCAATGCTTAAATACTTTTCCCCATCTACCTATACTTAAAATTATACCTCTGCTAATTAACACAAACTCTTTTTTTTGTTTATAAGAAAACAAAGGTTTTATCTTGAGCTACATGTATAGTTACAGATGTTGTAAATATTATCGTATGCTCACAAAACAAGGATAAACACATCTGTTTTACTAGAAACTATATATTTACAAGTGACAAGTACAATTGTGTATATAAAATTTTTTCAACAAAGCAAATAACAATAATAGTAAGGTTCACATAAGCGTATGTATTGAATGTTACAAAATGGATGACTGGTGTGGATGTTTACTTTCAATATTTTTCTTCTCTTATTTAATGTTAAAATGGCAGTCTGTTATTGAAATAACAAGTTTATAATATATTCCAGTGATCACGTGTAGACTTGAAGCTTCTGGGGCCCCTATTTTTACCAGTAATACTATGACTTTTAACCAGGGCAACTACTTACTCCACGTATCGCATCTTACTATAGAAGTGACTCACAGAGACAGTTTCATGCAGTTGATCACGTAAATAATGCCTAGACCATGACTGGCCTGATGGGCCCTGGTATTGAACAAAAGGCCTCAAGCCTCTCCGAACGTAGCGTAGTTGACACATTTGTTTCTGCTTTCTCCGAGAATGTTAAAATTCATGTGAGACAAAAGAAAGAATTATATTCTCAAGGATATTTTGTTAGCAAATATAAACCTATGCTTTGAGATGGGCAGAAAAACTGAAACCAAAAAATTGGATATGTGTGTGTTTACAGATAACTTGGGATTTTAAATACTCTGAGGGATAATTTTAACCTGAGCATTAACAGTAGATGCATGCTCCTTGCTGACATAGGTTACATGTGCCTAATAGTGCCAGTGGCCTATAATATTTATATTTACTTGTGTGTTTTAAGTGTATGTTTTATATATCAATATAAACAGTAGACAGATTTACTTCAAATCAATTAAATGTTCTAATCGTGGTTTATAATATATCTGTAACCAAAATATTTTGACCCAAACCATGTAAAATGTTTAACTCCATACTGTGTGTAATGATTTATTACCAAGTATATTAAAATGTTTACATCTGTAGAATTAACTTTTGACTACCATCATCACTGATAAAAATTAATTTTAGTTGGAACAACGACATAAATTTAGTAGTGTTGGTAGCTATAAAACAACACATGTGAAGAAATACAATTTTAATATACAGATTAAGAAATGATTCATTACACACTTTGAACAGAAGACTATGTATATCTGTAACAAGCCATGTTATTTATAGTACAACTTCCACACAGTTACCCTCATATTTCTGTTTCTCCCTCGTAACATTTGAAAGTTTTAGTACAGAAATGGCAAAGCACACTTATAAATCTGGATATTGAATAACGGGAAGCACAGGCTTTTTTCCAGACATATACTCTAGTCAGCTTTGAAGCAGACTTGTCTGAACTATTCATGCACCAAATTACTTATGGGTCAACAAAAATACCATCAATATTCAAAGTAATTCTATTGATCGCTGATAGGATTTTATTTGTAATTAACACAGAAAGTGAGTGGTTTAACTTAATTCATTTAATCAGATCTTGATACTGAGTATTGTAAGACATAAAGACAAAAAAAAATTGGTTCAACAATATGATGCATCTGAACCCCCTACCAGAAGTTGATATAAAAACAGCGTTGGGTGTGTTCACTTTCTTTTGTCAATGACTTTAAAGGACTTATTCAGAAGTCCTTTTAACTAAGACCTACACACTTTTCAAGAAATCTAAAAGTGACTATTACCTGGGAAACGTAACCATAAGATCAACATAACCAAGGATTATGCTGGCTCGTCACATATTTAAAGCTAGAGCTGGATAATTAATTCAATTACCTATTAGCATCAATTACATCTACATACCAGATTAAATAAAATTATAATTAAATTGACTACTTTCATGAAAATAATCAACAAACTGAAGTTAGTACTTTCAGTTATTAATGTTCATAATTATCTAAGTAATTGAAATATTGCCACTATTATTTCTCATTATTATTTTCAATTAATTCAAGGTTGCTCAGCTTAATATATTACTGTCATGACTCAATACAATAATCAACTAATCAATATGAGGGTTTCTAAGTATTACGATTTTGATTATTGCAAGTCTCATGTGAGAATAATTAATTAGTTGAAAGTAATCAGTTAATGATTACGGCCCAATACTTTTAAGAAATTGAGTGTCAAGAGTCATCTTTTCTTATTCATAAGTTGTGAACAAAATTGCTGTTTAAAAAAAGACATTTTTTTTTTATTTATAACAAACTGAAATACTCGTTAACTGATGGGGAACGTTTAAACTTAATTAAAACAATGTAAGTTTAACAGCAATCATATATTTCAAAGTAATAACTTGGACAAACTTTATCTTAAAATTTTAAAATTATAACAAAGTTTCTTCTTAAACAACATTTACAGTTTGCTTTCCATCTACCAACAAATAAAGATTTTGAGGTGATCCCACCCTTGAACACCCTACATCTCACTGACCACAAGAAAAGCATGGTTGTTTGAAAAACAATCCAGCAACTTTCATACTTTGACCTTGAATACCTTTAGAATATTCAACATTGTCTAAAGCGTCAACCTGCCAAGATTGTTTGAGATTGACACAATAGGCTGGGAGTGATTAACCAACAGGCTTTACAAAATAGAAGTAGGGTTAAGTTCAATTTTGACCCCCTTAGGACATTCCCCATAGTTCACAGTGTTTACATACAAATTTTGGTTAAAATTGGTCCAATAGGCTTGGAAGAGTTTGGGTGCAAACCAAGACACATTTTGTCTATATCTAGCTTTGTGGTCCTAGTTAGAACACTGCTTATTAGAACAATTTCACACAGGTGTTGAGGAAACAAACCAGAACACAATCTTAACTCTAGGGTATCTGTAGTCAGTAAACTGTATTTTTCTGGTTATGTTTCTCAGAATTGAGCAAATTAACAAGCATCAAGTTTGGCTAACTTGTAAGAACAAGCATTATTCAAGTTCAAAGTCAATAGTTCAGAGAATGAAAAAGATAAACAAGATATAAGCCTCCAAAAACTGATCTGAATGATAGTCCTTAAATTTCACAGCTCTTCAATTGCTACGTTACACCTAAACTCTTATCAAACATCTTGTTGTGCAGTCTAGTTTGCAACATCCAATCAGAACTGTAAGCACAGCCGAGTTTGCTCAGGCCTGTCTTCTGAGTGTTTATTTACAAAATAGAGGAATAAACGAAAAGGGCTCTGTCAAACACGTGTACAATGCACACATTACATGCTCTATTTATCCAACGTGGCTATAGCTCCTTCGTTTCGGTGAAATCCACCTACAATTCAGGGTATACCTAGCATCTGATGAATTTTAAAGTACAATGTATTAATGAAGCAATCAGAGAGTGGTGAAATATAAAGAAATATAAAATGATAGTAATAAATTTCAATCTGTGATAGACTTGTATAATTTGGTTCGGTGGTGTAAAACGCAGTATAGTATGATGATCATACTCATAATGAAAGATCCTTACGGACGAAAAAAACATAGGTATGGTTTGTACTTTTGGATAGCTCAGTGGTCAATTCCTGTTAGCCAGAGGTTCAAGTCTCAGTCCTAGAGTCTCCTTTTACTTATCAACTTCTGCAGTGTTATACAACTGATTATTAGTGCTAGCCTGTGTTGCTGGAAACTCTCATGCAACCAGCACAACAATTTTGGTTTTAAGTAATTGGAATAGTTAACATTACATCTATCTTGGGAAAAAAAGGTGTATATTAGAAAGTTTCCTTTCATTGAATCAGAACGGGATTTAAAATACCGTACATCTATTTATTATTTTTCTTCCTCGCATCGTTTAAATCAGCTATTTTATAGATACACTAAGACCCCACTTTAAGCTGATTCGTTGTGAGAGATTAGTTTTTTCATGAGAGAGAGAGAGAAAAAGAATTATGAAAATACATAACTCTATGAACACTACTTTTTCATACTTATGGTAGTAGTGCGCTAAATAATTTCTATTTAATAAAATAATGCAACAAAGAACACAGAATAATAACATGCATAATGAAGACAATGTCCCGTAACTATCACAATTTTTCTGGCATTTCTAACGACGCAATATGAACCAACATCCATCAACACAATATCATTCCTGTGGGGGAAAATCGTTTTCTGTACAGGAAACAAAGTAATATAATATGTCATTTGATGGACGAAAACCTTGCCTGTCTATTGGTTATAATTAATATAGTCATTAATGGAATAGAGAACTACATGTATTGGCAATTCCTGAAAGAGAAGATGTGACGGGTGGGCGTGGCAGGAAGGGTCTGATTTTCTATTTGATGGATCTGTAACCAAACAAGATTTAAAGCTAATAAAAAAATGTTTTTTTCCAGCAATGATGATATTATAGTGAGTAATTTACTTTAAATTTACCAGTACCTAAACACAACACTTATACATCATTCAGGGGTAAAAAACAATACCTTCAGTTACATATCTCCAAATATGTAATGTTAAAATGACCCTGTTTAGAGCTGTTTCATTTAGAGCTCTGGTCTCGGGAACCCCTCCCGAGCACTAAACAGGGTATTACTGTACTAATGAAGTTCAAAGCTTACAGCCTGACTGTTACCATTTTTAATTTATACTTTGGTTCCCCAATGAGTCAGTCATAAGATTACAGACTTTTAACAATAAAAATCTGAGGGATTTGTTTCCTGTAGTGGTTAGAATGCAGATAGTCCATTGTGTAGCTTTACAATAAAAAACAAATTGATACTTATCTAACTGATATCCTAAACATTCAATCTTTCTGTAAAAAAAACATCAACAGGAAAATGTGTCAGTTAAGATTACCAGTTTCATTTAAAGAAAAAAGTTACTTTACAAGATTAAAAAAAAAACCTTCTTATAACCCTGGGACATTCCATGTCAGCAGAAACTGAATTATGGTCTATAAGATTTTTGTTTCATATTTCAGTACACTTTCAAAACCTTTTTTTTTTCTCCAAATCCTGTATGTTAACATTAACCCATGATTTAGGCTACACATTTATGGTTTCTTGTTATAATCTGTAGTTATTCTAGAACAAAAAATGCATAATTTATATCTAATTCCTAATTTTCTATGTTGGTTACGAGGTTGGTCAAATCGACCAAACCCATGGGGTCTGATTTCCAAATGTACTCATGTAATAGTACCAAGGGGCGTAAGGAAATTCCAGTACCAGAAACACCTGATTAACCCTCTCGTTACACGTCCTTCTACAAGCTAGAATATGAAATAAGAACCTCCTGTCTTTTCTATTTCCTGTGATATCACTACATTTAGTGGATATTTCATTTTTGGATATTCTTGCTTATGTACACCTACTATGTGTATGATGTGTGAATAACCAATCAAAAGTTCAGAATGTCCCCCACATGGTTTTCTCAGCCTCTAGAGGGAGATAAGTTCCCAAGATTATTTCTTTATCTTTAATCTCAGAAGGAAGGGGTAAGTGAAAATGTTGGCCGAAAAACAATATCTTTTTTTTTGACCCAAATACAATTTAGTTAGTAAACCTGATAAATCACAGTGGAGTTCTGCAATATTGATAATATGTGGTTATTTCAAAATTCATATATAAAACCTAAAAACATTATTTTATTTTACATCCTCCAAGTGCAAAATTTTACAAGGCTTAGCAAATTACGGCAAGCAGGTTAACAAGTACAAAGTTTGTAAGTAGAAAAACAATCATCGTTTTCTATCTTTATTCACTGTTCTATGTTTCAAGAAAAATACCTGAAATTTAAGGACTCATTTGTAAATAATAATGATATATATACACAAGTAAGGTATTATCACGGAAATGTGACTCTTTTACAAAATACTGGTTTAGTAAAACAAATCAAATACAGGTCACTTTGTAAAGGCCAGTTTTATATTATTGGATGAATGCACGTGCACCGCATCATTTCAACTTCTGTAATGTTAGTTAGACACGGCCGAAAGGTCAATAAAATACAAATAATAAATATATATATTGATGTATAATGTTATGAGATTTAGGCTACACATTAATGGTTTCTTGTTATAATCTGTAGTTATTCTAGAACAAAAGATGCATAATTTATATCTAATTCCTAATTTTCTATGTTGGTTACGAGGTCGGTCAAATCGACCAAACCCATACAGATACAATAGTGAAAATAACAGATAAAATATAAAGTTTTCTCTAAAAAAAAGAAATTTTCTAAAAAGTCTGGAGGTTATAAAGATTTTGCATGTGAAATTTGACAATTTTCTGAAACATAAAAGTATTTTTAATCTTAAAATCAAAATTACTTTGCATGTTGGATAGTCAACATTCGAAAAGAAAAAAAATGTACGAGCAAAACATTACTTAAAAAAAATCTTAAAACTTAATTACAAAATCAGATATTTTATGTAATGTTTAACTGATAACCTGCAAAATTTCACAAAGACGCTGTATTAAAAGTTATAATATGAAAACTATGACAAGCACAAAATGGTTATGGGGTCAATCCCTGGGACAAAGTTCGTAGTGAGGGGGTCACAAAGTAATATTTATAATAATGCTGATGATTGGTTCTAAAGGGAGGGGCAAATATACATGTATGTTTCTAAAACAAAATATTACATTTGCACTTGATCCATGACTTTTATCGTTCTTATTATGTCCGAACTAATTGGTTGGAAGAACATGATGTACTTTGGTAGATCGTTAACATCTATTAATTTCTGGATATTATCCATGTGTTAAATGTTCAAACTTAGGCAACTAATTTATTATTAACTCATCTTGTTAGTTGATGCCTGACAATTTGTACACAGGTTTTAATTTACTGTTTATCAGGTAAAGATACGTCAGGAAAAAAGCCTGTGCGGTTTGTAAACCAAGTGCCCGTGAAACAAAAAAAAAAAGGTTTCACTTGTACTTATACAACTCTACCAAGAAAAATAATCTCATGACGTGGTGTACTCCTGCCTCCATTAAAAGTCTCTGTGATGTTTGGAGTATTATTCATTATCAAAAACAATCCATATTTTTTTTGTGAAGAAATTCCCAAGCCTCCAATGACATGCCCTTCCTAAGGTCACAACATTGTTGTCAAACTGCTGTTAATGTGATGCCGACCATTAAGGGGAGCTGTAATTACTGTTTCTGGCAGGAACATACACATCATAACATCCATACCATACCTGAAATAAGCATCAAAGAACTGTGCAGAACCAACGCGAAGTTTTTTTGGTCGGTTCGTTGGCCTTCAACTGATGACTTCCAGTCTTAGGTGGATTGGTTGCCTCCTGGTGACACAGAAAAAAACTGTCAGGACTCATGATACAAAATAAATGGTTTAGGCTTAACTATTCTACATCATTTTCAAAAGCAAGAAAAATATTTTTAAAACATATGTAGCAAAATTAACAAAAATTGAACTGAATAAATTCCATAAACTAATATTTTAAATAGCTTTTAACATAATATAATAATGCTATTGTCCAAATATTTATTTAAACTATCACCAAAGTAGCTAAAAACAAGTTCAAGCACTGAAACATGTAATTAAATAGCTAATTTTTATTTCAACAAAATGATACTGAAATATATCTGTTTATATATATACAATAAACACATGCTTTCAATCTTAAAAATGTTCACGCAAAAACAGGCAAAATGAAATCAGCAAGCATAAAAATGCACCAATCAAAGAGAAGCAACTTGAAAATAATTCAGAATGTAAATTTCACTTTATCAAAATGCTGCCACATCTGACATGCTTCTATTCAGTATAGATTTAAATACCTAAACAAAGAACAATGTAAAAGGTAAAGCAAAAAAGCCGTATTTCAGCACTTAAGATGTGTTTAAAACAAAAGATAACATTTTTGAGTTTAATATTAAAGTTGGTAAGGTGTGAAAGATTAGTTGAATTAAGAAATAAGAAACTTCAAATTTGACTTCAGTCTGGTTTCAATTCCGAAACAGACTGACTGTGAGGACAGTGGGAGAAAAAACCCAAAAAACAAGAACAATCCCTTTTGCTTGGTACTATTCGATCACACTTCCTTTGTTTGTATTGTAGCTGAATTTATTGTGCTTTAAGTGCTGTAACAAGTTTAACTGTCTTTACTAACACACACAATTAATTTCAATACAAAACTTAAAACAATTAAATAACAGTATGCTATGTATTTAAACAAAAAAACAAACATATACATTTTTCTAGGCAACTTTACATTTGAGGGTGAGTAATGTTTCCAGACACTATTTCATCTGCTACTTTATTACCAACAGTTATACCTAACAATATGAAAAATACTCATGTATTTAAAAATTGGGAGCTAGATTATCTCAATTTGAACACAGAGTAACGTAAACAAAGATAAAGAAACTTTTAAAACATGTTACTTTCTACATTTATTATTTCTTCATATACGTACAAATACTATTTCTAAAGAACTCTTTTTCATACCCTGTTTGTCTGTTTGTTTAGAACACTTGTGCAAGCTATACACGCTGTATCTGAGCACAACTACCATACTTTTCAGCTGATAATATCAGAGGGAAGGCAGATAACACAGGTCTGTAAATTTAAACTTCATAAAAGTTGTTTCGGTTTTAATTATGGATTTTCAAGAAATCCGCTACACAGATATCGAAAATAATATTAATTTTTTTTCTATCACGTAAGGATTTTTTTACAAATCGGAAAGAAAAAAAAACCTTACTTATGTCAAATTATTATTTCGGTTACCACAATGAACATTTTTTATTATTATGCTCGTTAACTCAAACTCAAGAAAAGGGAAGAACACTACTGATGTCAAACGAACATGCATCCTCATTCCTTTGTGAAATCTACATCTTGTAGTCTCAAAACTACGTGTTGTGGTCTTTCTTTTATGTATTGCATTATGAAGTTTTGTGAAAAATCTGTATGTGATGGAGAAAAATGGATATCATTTTCAGATTCAGCATACTGTAGAACATGCAAAAAAATTCAAGACAATAAAACCATTGCAGACCTGTGTAATCGACAGCCCCACAGCCAACTCTGAAGGAAGATCAAGGTTTGATTGTCACAGTTATACTGTATCCATGGCCCCAAAGACCAGAGAACATTTTAGTGACAACAAGATTCATAATCCAGGCATGCTAATGCTAAGTCACACCTGGTCCAATTAAATATTCAATGCCTGGTCTATGAACCTCTTTTAAACAGTGTATTTAATCTAATTGTTGTTTGTTTGTTTTTTATACTAGTTTTATTGTTTATCAATACCTGGATAATACATACTTATAGTTTTGAAATAAAATGTCTGGCCTATGGTAATGATCCGTGTTATTCTCCAACAGTGATAAAGGTTTTGTTTGTCTGTTTTTGAATTTCGCGCAAAGCTACACAAGGGCTATCTGAGCTAGCCGTCCCTAATTTAGCAGTGAAAGACTAGAGGGAAGACAGCTAGTCAACCCCACCCACCACCAACTCTTGGGCTACTCTTTCACTAATGAACAGTGGGATTGACCGTCACATTCTAACATTCCCACGCCCGAAAGGATAAGCATGTTTGGTGGGATGGGGATTCGAACCTGCACCCTAACCACCTGTCCTGCCGGGCCTACTATGATAAAGGATAGGAATCTATATAACATCATACACATAAAAAGTGCACAGAAGTTTACGAACATTATTTGAATATATCGAATTAATGGTATATTTTATACTGTGCTGGCTATAGGACGGTGGAATTATGAATGTATACTTTCTCAATACTAACATAAACATCAGCAAGGTTCAGTTATCTCAAATTTACCACATAATTCATGTTGCTCCAAAACTAAGCAAGAGATTGAACAGTACAAACATGAAACCTGGGTAAGCTTATCAGAATCTTAATACTTGTTCTAATCTAAAAATAACCTTTATAAAATTTCAAGATCCTCTTTCAATACAAGTAGCTTATCCTCTGAAAAGACAAGTAAGCATGTAACATCCATTCAATATTACTTAAGCTATAGGTTTCTTCCTTTACAAAGTACTATATATATATCTTGGGTTAAACAGCCAGACCTCTATTAGCTGTCCTTAATTCAGAGCTGCTGACCAGGTGAAGGGCAACCAATCATCAGAACCACTGCCCATGTAACTACTCTTACCTGTATAACAGGACTGACTATCAAAGCTAGAAAACCACTGCAGAGCTCTATGTCCAAGATATAAAAATTAATAAATAATTAGTAATAATAATAACCAATAATAACCGATTTCTAAAAAATTGTAAAAGGAATGCTGTACTATGTAACGGGAAGGTGTAAAAGGAATGCTGTATTATGTAACAGGAAGGTGTAAAAAAATGCTGCATTATGTAACGGGAAGGTGTAAAAGGAATGCTGTATTATGTAACGGGAAGGTGTAAAAGGAATGCTGTATTATGTAACAGGAAGGTGTAAAAAAAATGCTGCATTATGTAATGGGAAGGTGTAAAAGGAATGCTGTATTATGTAACGGGAAGGTGTAAAAGGAATGCTGTATTATGTAACGGGAAGGTGTAAAAGGAATGCTGTATTATGTAACGGGAAGGTGTAAAAGGAATGCTGTATTATGTAACGGGAAGGTGGTTTACATAATACAGCATTCCTTTTACCCCTTCCCGTTACATAATACAGCATTCCTTTTACACCTTCCCATTACATAATACAGCATTCCTTTTACCCCTTCCCGTTACATAATACAGCATTCCTTTTACCCCTTCCTGTTACATAATACAGCATTCCTTTTACACCTTCCATTTACATAATACAAGCATTCCTTTTACACCTTCCCGTTACATAATACAGCATTCCTTTTAGGAAGGTGTAAAAGGAATGCTATATTATGTAAACGGAAGGTGTAAAAGGAATGCTGTATTATGTAAACGGAAGGGGTAAAAGGAATGCTGTATTATGTAATGGGAAGGGGTAAACAATTAACACTGCAACATTTTGAGTATCTGGTGCAAGTACTATTTATGTACATCACAAAAACATGTTCAGACTGGCCTTGAATCAGGGTCAGTTAAGTAACATTCTGTTGTCCACACATACACAAGCAAAAACTTATTTCAGGGCTCAAACAAAATAAACTTGCTACAAATGGGTGAGTTAACAAAGTAAACAAAAATTATATCTTGTTATAACCATTCCTTTTAACCACTAGATGCAAGCAACGCCATTAATCTTGCTATGTGTATACACTCTGGGAGAAACCATCCTCATGTACAAAACTAGAGTAATTTCACGTTCGTTATCAAGCACAGGGGAAGATGTATAATTCCTTCACAACAAAATCTACAACACTTCACGTACTGAACAAAGACACATACTTAACACGTCAGTGCACTATTGTATGTTACATGTTAGACTTCTCCAAGCAGGCCACACATTTCTCAAGAAAAAGAAATTTCCAACAGGACATTACCTTCTGCACGTACAGGAAATGATGAAGATTGGTTCCAAGATAACTCAAAAAGGATAAAAAGCCAGAAGCAAATAGCAGTAGAGTCTGATTAATATGCATCCAAAAGATTGAACAACTTAACTTCTACAAATTAAACTTTCAGTTAACTGTATCCTCAAAAAAAAAAAAAAAAAAAAATTTTTTAAAAGATACACACAGAAAATGAACAAATAATACTTATGATAAATCCAATACTTTAACACTCGGATAAATCCAGAGCTTCTTTTTTAAAGCACATTCACAGAAATGAAAAGTTTCAAAAAGCATTATCACTTATTTTAAAACATTATTGAAATCTCACTCATAGTTATCCTTAAGAAAAACAAACCTCTCACTATTAAAAACAGTAGCAGAAATTTTATCTGCTACTAAACGGGAAAAATACGATTAATTCCTAAGGATTTCTAATCCTGTTCAAAGTCTGATTCTTCTCTTAACAAATATGCAGCCTATTTTACTTTAATTCCACCCCCATAAACTTATAAACCATACAATCCTTCAGGTTTGAACGAGTCAGATAACGAACAAGTCACGCTTTTCATCTTAACTGCATGAAAAAAGTTTGCTAGAACTAGAACTTAGAAAGTATCATAATTATACGTATAAGTATGATAACATCCATACATAGTATAGTATTGGATACTTTGAATATTAATAAAACATAATTATTAAAAGAAACATGCACACTTCTCACAAAATTAAATATGATGACAGTGAGTATTTTCTAAAATATCTTTCATTTTTAAAAAAAGATTATGATAGAATAATGCAAATTGGTCTCTAATCTTTCCCCACAAAAATGTAAGAAAACTTAACCGTTACTATACGTGTGTTTACTTTTAATAATCATACATAAATATTAAAAAACGTTTTGCTTGACATTTGTTGAAGGAAATACTGAGGATTTGGTTTACCTTGATTTTTAAAAAAACATCTGATAAGGTGCCACACAAAAGACTTGTTACAAAAATTAAATCTGTGGGTGTCGAAGAAATGTTATTAAATTGGACAGAAAATTGGCTGGAGAGTAGAAAGCAGAGAGGAATAATAAATGGAGTTAGTTCTGATTGGATCACAGTTACGAGCGATGTGCCTCAGTGATTTGAGCTGGGTCCTCTGCTGTATTAATTAATTTAGATCATTTGATGCATTGGGCCAATATGTGGCAGGTGATGTTTAATTATCCAAAATGTAAGGTGACACATGTAGATTTTCACAATTTAAATGGGAATACAGTAAATACTGTGGCTGAAGAAAAAAGATTCTGGTGTTGTGATTGAAAAATCACTTAAGTCATCTAAACAGTGTATTGTAGCTAGCAATAGGGCTAATAGGATTTTCGGTAGCATCTATAGAAATATTAAATACAAGACAAGGGATATTACTGTTTCACTGTAGCTAGCAATAGGGCTAATAGAATTTTCGGTAGCATCTATAGAAATATTGAATACAAGACAAGGGATATTACTGTTTCACTGTATAGATCACTTGTAAGGCCTCATTTAGAGTACTGTGTACAGTTTTGGACTCCCTTCCTCAAGAAGGACATTGAACTGTTGCATAAGGTTCAGAGAAGAGCCACTAGGATGATACATGGGATGGTGAGATTGTCCTATGAAGAGAGATTAAACTTGTTTTATCTGGAGAGAAGAAAGGTCAGAGAGGATTTGATTGAAGTGTTTAAGATTATTAAGGGTATTGATAATATAGATCCATTAAACATTTTTGTGTTTAGCAGTGAAAACAATAGGACAAGGGGTCATAAACTCAAATTTTGGCAGCGTAGGAGTCATCTGCAGTTCAGAAAGTATTACTTTCCAAACATGGTGATTGGCTTTTGGAATGAGCTGCCATCAAGGGTGGTGGAGGCAGAAAATTTAACTGAGTTCAAGGAAAGATTGGATGAATACATGAGTAGTAAGTGGTGGATATAGTCAGGAGCTGGAAGGGACATCATTGAGGGGCTAATAATCTCCTTTTTGTCCCTTTAAAATTGTATGAACTTATAATTCTATTTAGTTTAATTAACAAAGTTAAAATTTAAATATATAATTAGCATAAAAAACAATTCAATACAAAGTTAATAAATCAAACCTGATAGTAAATTTCTATTAGCGCAACTCACTCAGACCATTATTCTTACACTATCCTTCTATTTTCAACAAACAAGTTATATCTTTACATACCATTTTTTTTTCCATTTTCCTCTTGATATCTCTTGCTAATGCGAAAAAAGCCTCTTCTACATTTATGCTAGCTTTTGCACTTGTCTCCATAAATTTTATCCCATATTCTATGGCAAGCTTTATTTTTTTTCACGAAAGAAAAAAATCCATTAATGTTATCTTTATATTTAAATCAAGCAGTTTATAAATCTCAGGTTCAATACGATGTTCTGTAAAGTTATACTTTTATTTATTTTTTTAATTTTATATTCAGCATTTCAGAAACAAAGCATAAAATGTTCTTAAAAAAAAACAAGTCTGTCTAGATGTTGTGATTATGACTGTCAAGTATGGTTAAAAACACCTACAATACACAGTCCGATACCTTTTATTTTAATGATTATAATTTACAAAACACCCTGTTATTTCAATCATAATTGGAAAATAATTGAAATTCACATAAAAGTTATGAAAGATTAATTATCCATATGCCAATGACTTAACACCTAAATTGCACAGAAATAAGAGAGAAGCCCAGAGCAGAATTAATAAAAACATACGTTTTTTATGCTATCTGTTAAATACAATCAGTATTAGCTAAATTTATCGACTACCATCCGATTGTTTTTCATGTATTTTAAACATACCTGTTCCCCCCGTTCTGTTAAATACAATCAGTATTAGATAAATTTATTCACTACCATCCGATTGTTTTTCATGTATTTTAAACATACCTGTTCCCCCCGTTCTGTTAAATACAATCAGTATTAGATAAATTTATTCACTACCATCCGATTGTTTTACATGTATTTTAAACATACCTGTTCCCCCCGTTCTGTTAAATACAATCAGTATTACATAAATTTATCGACTACCATCCGATTGTTTTTCATGTATTTTAAACATACCTGTTCCCCCCGTTCTGTTAAATACAATCAGTATTAGATAAATTTATTCACTACCATCCGATTGTTTTACATGTATTTTAAACATACCTGTTCCCCCCGTTCTGTTAAATACAATCAGTATTAGATAAATTTATTCACTACCATCCGATTGTTTTACATGTATTTTAAACATACCTGTTCCCCCCGTTCTGTTAAATACAATCAGTATTAGATAAATTTA